GCGGGGGAGCCGCCAGGTCGACGCGCGCGATGGGGCGCGACGACGACGACGACGACGACGACGCGCGCGTCGCGGCGGCGGTGGAGGAGGTGTCGCGCGCGCGTGATGCGGACGCCGTGGCGAGAGGTGCGCGCGAGGCGAGGGGAGAGGACGCGGCGCGACGACCGCGCGTGGGCGAATGACTGACGGGCGGCGCGACGAGCGACGATTCGGGACGACAGCGATCGAGATCGTCCGTCGAGCGGTGGAACGCGAGGACGCGTTCGGTGAACGCGCCGTGGAGGTGCGTGCGATCGCGTGGTCGCGATGAAGGCGTGAGACGTGGGTGAGACGCGGGTTGAGGGGACGCGGGGACTGACGAAGACGCGCGCAGACGTACCTGGCGCGGTCGCCGGATTTCGCGGATGTTTTGACGATATGGGATGGGTATCACGCGAATCACGCGCAGAAGGTGTGCGTGCCGCTGTTGAGGATGTGCGGAGCGATGATGCGGCGGGCGAGGGACGTGGATGGGGAGCGGGGGACGACGCGCGAGCGGTTGGCGCTCGATTCGCTCGCTCGGGCCATCATGACGCGACGAATGCGGCACATTTATAGTCACCTGGGAAGCGGGATCAGGGTGCGGGTGAACGCGGCGTTTGTCGTGCTCGCCGCCATCGCGGGACGGGGGAAGCGGTGTGCGGCGGAGTTATTTCGCACGTTTGATTTCTCGCTCGCGGCGCTGCCGAAACTCGCGTCGCCGCCGCGAGACACACGGGCAAAAGAGGGCGCGATCGTGAAGAGAAGAAAAGAGCCGAAGGACGTCATGTCTGGTTCGACGCGTAGGGGGTTTTGTGAGTTCGTCTTGGCGTTTTTCACAGTGAAAGACAGGGCGCTGTTACGCCCGGTGTTGGCGCAACGCGTCTTGTTTGGAAACGTCGCGCGATTCATCGCGGGCGACGAGGCGGAGATGCAGCTCCGAGTCTTACGAGTCATCGAACACGACGTCATGTCGAACGAAATTGGTGTCCCGGCAAGATTACGCGCAGCTCTGTTCGGAGACGTCAGTCTCGAACAACTCGCGACGATAGCTGGACAAAGCGAGGACGTACACGCCGCGGATGGGAAAGCGGCGCTCGCCGCGACGAGCGTGCTCGTGAAGCTCTTGACCGACCCTGCGCACGGATTGATACCCGAAAAGTCTGGAGTGGTCTCCAAGAAGTGCGCCACGGTCGTTCGACTCTTGCAAAAGCTTCGACCGATCGAGTGCGACGCGCATTTGAAAATTCTACTGAGCGCATGCGAGACGCACCCGTTGTTGGCGTCAATGTATCTTCCGGGCGCAAAGTTCACGCTTGATCCGCGATTATCGGCGCACTGGCTGACCAGCGCGAGTGTGTTGGGTAGGATTTCCGTTGCCGCAGGGCGCGATGTCGCATCTACCGAGGTGGCGGCTCGTCTAGATGGCGCAAACACGGTCGGTGAAGCCGAGGGGTCAGCTTTCATCAAAGCCGTCATTCCTCCCGGGATGACAAAACAGACGCTCTCAAAAGGACTGGCGCACACGTCGCCCGTGATTCGACATGCAACGTTGTGTCTGATGCTCAACGTCACAAGAGCGATCAGGTCGAGACTGGCTCACTTGAATATAGCGATCGCAGGGGGGCGAGTGCGAGCGAGTGAACGTGTTTGGAAGTTGGAGGAACTCGCATCGAACGCCCGCCTCGCGACGACGACGTTCCTTCCCGAAGTTCAATCCATCATGGCAGCGTACACGGCGAGTAAGAGTGCGAAGGAGGGAACGAAAGAGTGGACCGCGGCATTGTTAATGCGCTGTCACGCTCTGAATGCCATTTCAGCGCAGGTTCGCGCCGTCCCGGAGGCCCTCGTGGACGCAAAGGTTGATTTCAACAAGCTTCTGCCGTCGAACGACCCAACGAGTTTGCCCTCCACTGAACTTGCCGCCGTCATCGATGTACTGTGCGCGGCGAGAGGACTGAGCGAATCAGACGAGGATGATAACGTTCCATCATCGTCGTCGTTTCAAGACTCAGGGGTAAATCAAGGCCACCTCCTGTCGGTATTTCGCGTCGTGATATTCGCGACCTCCGTCGAGGCGCGCGCAGCAGCGAGACGACTGGCAAAGCATTACTTGGTGACTTCCGGTTCATTGGACGATCGCTCATCGGAAGCAGACGTGTGGATAGACAAGCTCACGTCGTTCCGAGCGAACGGTTTCGAGCACTCACGAGAACTTTTGATGTCGTGCACTGAATTCTTAGCTGAGGCCACCACGGCAGCGACGCGACGAAGATTCAAGCACGATTCGGAGGTTCAACGGGTACTACGAGATTCGAACGACGCGCGTCCAACCCGATTCAGCATCAATGATCTCACCGAAAGTCATCTTAGTGCGGCGACGCTCGCCGTGAGCTCACTCGCCATGACGGCATGTGAAAGCGTGGGCAAGGTGCTCAAGAGTGAGAAGCGCTCGCGAGAGTTTAAACTCGCTGTGAGCGCCTACGTATCCTCCGTGATGATTTGTCTCGTTCAGACTAGCTACGATCCGTGGGCTGTGGCGGTGTGCGCGCAACACGCACTTGGAGATCAGGGTGAGGGCTATTACCCAGCGATGGATTCGCTACAAGCTTTTACACGACGATGTTTGGAGGAAAGCGTTCAAGATTCACAGAGTGCTCGAAGAAAGCATACGAGTAGGCACGGCACGTCGCCGCTTGAGTGGTCGTACGAAGCATTATCGCAAGCTCTGGACGATTTGTACGCACTTTCTCCTGAAGATAGGGGTCTCGCATTGTTCTCCATGCACGCGCATGGTCCGATGCTTGCGCCATTTGGAGCAGACGTAGCGGCAATGGCCATTTTCGGTTCGTCGGATGAGCTGGATGAGAATACGGCGTTACTATTGTCTCTCGTGAAGAGCCTAGACGCCACCGCCGTCGTCACCGCGTGCTCATCCGTCTCTGGACCGCTCTTGGGTGCAGACATGAGTGAAGCGGCGCCGGCAAGCGAGCTGTGCGCAAGGGTGATTACGATGTGCCCAAAACGCGACCTCATCCGAGTGACGAGATCGCTCGTGTTTTGGTGCAAGTGGAATCACGCGAGAGGCGATGTGCGAACGGTAACTCGACTGATTGAGCTTTGTCGAGTCGCTCTGAATCGAGCGCGCTATGAAAGCGAAAATATGTTGAGCGCCGTTCGCTTGTCGTTGTTCAGTACGACTTCGCTTTACGCCATTTTAGACGAGTCCACGGATCGTTCACTCGCGGACTTGGTCATATACGACGCGTACATGAACTCAAGCGACCGTGAAATGTATTTACCGTACATCCAGCGATCAGTGGATCGACTTCATGCGGTGTTGCATGAGCCCAACGTTGAGACATCTGTCAACGTAGCGCTCATTGCTTTAGCAACGAACGACGAAAAGCTCGATCTTTTGGAGAAGTTTGAGCTTTCGGGTGCTACATTGCTGGGTATTCAAGTCGCCGACGTCGCTGGCTTCGCCGGGCCGAGCGCTCGCGTGCGTATGCAAGCTGTACGTTACCTTGTTCGTAGCGCTCTGTCATCAAGGCTGGATGCAACGGGTGTCACGCAGGCGTGTCGGGTCGCTCAAAGAGCGCTCGACGCATTACCCTCGGACGAAATGTTAATGGGACAGGCTCCAGACTTAGCCGTAGCCCCGGAGGCCTCGGAATTGGTTCGTGTCGTCTTGAAGGAATCAGATGTAGAGGCCCGCGTGCAATTGGCCGCAGCATTTTTGGCGCAGTCCGACGCGCTCGCTTTACAGTTCATCGTCGGTGCTGCCGCGAGGATCTCAAATGGTGAGGACATCTTGCGATTGTTACCGCTCGCTCGGGGCGCAATGAGATGGGACGCGTTATATCGAATGTCGGAGCATTCCAAGGTTGTCGCCGACGCGTACCGAGACTTTCTCATGGACGAGTTTTTGTCGAAAGACGTGCTGTCGCCTTCTGTGAAAGAGCACGGTGTAGAGACACTGGTGTCGTGCATCAAGATATCGCCCCTCGAGTTTGGCTCGGAACAACGCGATCGTTTCATCGAACGCGTGATGCCGTCGACGGGATGGGCGATTCTCAGGCATCCAGATCACATCGTCCGCGCGCGAGTGTCCATGGGACTGTTTGCGAAAAGTGAAAGTATCACCGAGCAAATCATGTTCTTGACGTCTACTTTACAGACCCTCGCGTTGTTCACACAGTCTACGAATATGAACGCGTCAATGAGTCGAGATGTTTCGTCTGAGAAGTTTCTCGCCGAATGTCTTGCCAGCGTTCTCGACGGGCTTTTTGAGCGAGACGTCACAACGGTGCCCATGAACAAGCGTTTGATAGGAGAACTCATCAGAGCGTCGCAGGCATTCATGAAGCAGTCCATCGCGCACAAATTCCGTGCACATCGTCGTTTAGCAATCATGGGGCGAATTTGCACCGTTTTACTCGGTTTTCAAACGACAGAGTTTGAGATGCAAGCCGTTGCGGAGAGTATCCTCTCTCAGATTATTTCGCATCCTATGTTTGAGCGCACGCTGACCGCAGTCATCGGCGGTGGTGATTCCGAACTTCCAGTAAACTTGCGTGAGATGTCGGTTACGATGAAGTCAATAGTTGAGGCGGTGCGAGAGTCATCTGCGCACGAAGAGAGGAGTGAACCCAACAACGCAAGCGCACTCAAATTAGAATTATTGCGCGTGATGCGACTGCTCTGGAAGTTGCAGGACGCGGACGGGAAGAACGGGAAGAACAAGTGCATGAAGTGGCGTGCCAGTAACGCGCGCGTGATAGTGAGTTTGGCATCAGGCTACGGCGCGACGTTGAGCGAAGCGGATTGCCTGACACAAGAGTTGATGCTCGACATTGATGCGAGTACTGGCGGTGGAGTGTTGCGTTCAATCGGATATCTCTGGGGCGAATCGGTCACGCATTTCGTGAAAACTACTATATCCGTTCGACGAAATGAAGATACGGGCTACGACGTTGACGACTTATTGTACTCCCATCCGTCCCCAGCTCTTGTGGCTTCTGCCATTCGCGAAGGCTCTCCACCAGACGCTCGTCGTGCGGCGGCGACCGCCGCGAGGTTTCCAATGTCGCGAACAACGCCACCGAGCAACGTATCGGTTGATGCGTCTCATGTGGATGAAATTGTACCTTTTGGGTACGACCCGTCGTGGATGCTGCCGTTCACGATGCATGCACTGATGTCAGGCGCCATGGATCCGCGAGAGGCTGTCGCCTGGGGCCTTGCCCCTCTTGCAGCTGCCGCGCTCGCGTCGCACGATGAAAGCACTCGACGCATCGCATATGCCATCTTTTCCGTGATGAACGATCGGATCAGTGATCCTTTGTACTCATTCCGTGAGCGAACACAGGTATTGGCATGCCTCAGCGCTATGCGAAACGCGACAACTTCGTCCTTGATGCGCTGGCCCTCTCCAGGGGCCACCCTGGCGGCTGAGTGCATGCTTTCGTCTCTTTATCCCGAGACAGATACGTTCTTACCTCTGCAAAAGCAGCTGAATAGGCGAGCCGCGCTCGATTTGAGCGGACTGCCGATGTTCCTTCCGATGCTCAATAGCGGAGACGTCGATGCTCGGCAGCATCGACTGTGGATCCTCAGACTTCTTCGCGCCTCACTGAAGGATGAGACTGACGCGACGATATTTCGTAAGACGTTCGCGCTCGAGGTCGTGATGAGTCATTACAGCGCGACTTTGGCGGAATCTTACGCGAGATTCCTGATGCTCGATCTCGTCGCGAGAGCGTGCGCTGTGTTACCGGCGGCGCGACCGCTCGTTGAAGGTGGTGGACTCATCGCGTGGATGGCCTCCATAACGCGTGCGGCGTGCGTAAACGATAAATACAATATTCGCTCCGGTGAAACGCCCGCGCTCAGGGCGTCCACGGCCAAAGTTGCGACTGAGGCCCTGGTGACTTTGATTCGTCATAAGGGCTCAATTTATCTTGGCCCAACTGGGACGGCGGCGGATTATTTGTCTGCGCTTCAAACGATCAGAGCTTCGATCTTACGCGACGGCGACGATGCAGCGAATTCTGGTGTAGAGCTCGCCGGTCGTCGTGCTGCGCTTGGTCCATACCTTAAGCTGCACCACGAGCTCGCAACGCGTCTGCGGCGGCGCATCGCCGAAGTGGGCGATCCGGTGGAAATCTCCAGGCTCTGTCGCGTCGTCGACGCGGCGCCGAATTCGAGTGCGCTTCGCGATGACATGTTCAAAGTCATAGTCTCGTCCGAAGGTGGTGGGCGGTACGCCAAGAGGTGCACACGAGAGACGTTCCGCGCGCTTGCGGATGCTGTGACTTTTTCGGCTTCGTGGGCCGCTGCGCACGCCACGGACGTGTCCTTACGCGTCTCTGTGCAAGCGGGCGAGGATGCCTTCGAGCAAACCGCACGATGGTGTGCGAACGCGCTCGCGAACGGCGGAAACACACTCGCGAACGCCCTTCTCAGCTCGCCTGAGTGTGGCGGGGCCTCACGCTTTGCCGCCATCATGTGCTCTTGCGAGCACCGAGCTAGTGACGACGCGCGACGGGCTCTCCGTCTACCGTCGATCGCCGCCCATCTGTGCTTGCTCAGGGCTGTTGAGATATTCGATGACGATACCGCGCTATCCGACGCCGACGCGGCTATCAAACGAACGATCAATGTCGTCGACGGAGCCGCTCTCGCGCCGGGTGGCGCGCTCGACAGAGCCGTCGCCGCGAGCGCGTCAGGTGATTCGCGCGCCGGGACGCTTGCTCGAGCATTCTTACGCGCCATTTTTGCCGGCGTCGAACCTTCTGGCTTCGACGCCCTCGAGAAGATCGCGGAGACGGGCGAGCGTGCGAGTAAGCGCACGCGAGCATGAACGCGCGCCGCCTTCGGGCGTTTGCCCAGCGAGAACGATCTTCTGTAGAATAGTAGAAACGAGTAGCGTTTAACGTAGTGTAGATGTAGATACAGAGACTCGACGTCTCTTACAAAGATCAAGGAATTGAAGACTAAGCGGTGGCTGTTTGCTATGGTCGGGCAACGTTTCTCATTCCCGACGAGTTTCACGTCATTCGCGCGCGCGCGCTTAGACGCTCACAACCTTTTGGATAATTTGATCCGCGATCGCAGTCGCTTGCGCGTCAACTTGCGATTGCGAGGACTTCCTCGCTTCCTCCAAAGAGGCCATCGCGGTCGCGATTTGCTGGTCGACCTCCGCCTTGGCCTTGTCCGCCGCGGCGGCGACGTCGGCATCCATCTTCTTCTTCATCGCCGCGATTTCCGCCGCGACTTCCGAGCGGGCGTCCGCGATGATTTGCTCCTTTTGCGCCTGCGTTCGCGTACACATCACAAATCGTCAGTCACCGCGTCACGAACCACTACTGAATCATCAACTAAACATTGCGCGCAAACTCCACCAGTTGGATAAACCCCAAAACGTTCGGATCCTAAACGATCCATCTTCCCCTCCCGACGAGCGAAGCGACGTCCTATCCCCCCGCGCGAGCGCTCAAAAAACGCGTCTAAAATCATTTCACGAGTTCACAAAGACGTACGATGAGGTTATCGACCTCGGTGGAGTTATCCCCCACCGCGGCGAGCTGCGATCGGATCAACTCGTCGCGATCGTCGAGCGCCTTCCCGACCGGGCCGAACACCGTCTTGTCGAGGATCGTCATCAGGAGCAAGAACTCGGTGGCGATGATCGGAAGGGTCAAGTCGAAGTCGAAGAGCTTCCCGGCCTCGGCGTGCGCGGCGGGGACCATCGAAGCCGCTTGCATCGCGAGCGTCAGCGCCGGGAGCTTGACGCGGTCGAACGCCTTCGCGATCGCCGGCTTGGCGGCCGCCTTGGCGTGCGCCTTGGTGTGCTTGGCGGAGGCCTTGGTGACGGGGGCGATGTGCGCGCGGGCGACGACGGTGAACATCGTGCGTGGACGTGCGTGAGCGAGTGCGGAATCGCGCGCGCGCGGGGGGCATCTAGGGATAGCGGGACCTCGCGCGCGCGGTATTTCGCGAGTCATGACTCGTGTTGGTGGACTCTTTTCTAGATCACCCGAGGGATCGCCTCGAGTGGCGTGAAAAGGTTCGGTTCGCGGTGTCGCTTCATGGTTTTCAGACGTGCGGCAATATGATCATGGTGAATCACGTCTATTGATAAATGGTACACAGAGGTTACAATGGCATACATTACACGAGATCGGACAAACGGATGGATTACGTCGACGGTTGGCGCCAACCGTCGCGCGAGAGACGGACGCGCGCGCGATGCCGTCGCTCGGTCACTTAGCCGGCGCGTCCTACGCGGGCGCCGTAGATGAGCGTCGAGCGTGCGCCAGAGGCGCGTGGATCCTGTGCGCGTGGCCGTTTCTCGGGGACGCGATGTGCGTCCGTGGAGACTGCGCGTACAAGCCGCGATTTTTAGTCTTTCGATGCGCTCGAGCGCGATACAGAGAGCGCACGGACGAGGCGAGCGAGGATGAGCGCTCGAGGGTGTCTCCGGAGTACGTTGAGCGAGTAATGGGACGATGCGAGGACGTTTTCGCGGTCACGGTGAGCGCGTCGGACGGGACGGTTACGGCGGAGGTGGCGGCGGGATCACGCGCGCGGGCGCGGGTGTTGTTGTACGCGTCGACGCTCGTGGACGGACACGGGAATTCGTTGGGATTGGTTTTCTTGGAGGCGCGGGAGGGATTACGCGAGGCGCCGCCGGCGTGCGATTGTTGTTTTTCTAGCTAAGTTTATTTGTTTGTTTTCGTCCGAGCCATGTGTACATTTATTGATGATGGTGAGCACGCGTCGTCACAAGGTGGCGCGCGATGCCGATGATGGTGCGTGCACGAAGATTCTCGACGCTGGCGACGACGCTGGCGATCGTCGTGGCTTGTACGAACGCGCGATGCGCGCACGCGCAGCGAAAGGGTGGAAAACAAGACACCTCGTACGGAGAGGTGATCATCACCGAGATCAGTTATGAGCAGGCGTCCCCAGAGGACGCACTGGTGACTGAAATCGCTGGTTCGGATGATTGGGTCGAGTTGTACAATCCATCAAAGACATTAACGGTCAATCTAACCGGTTTTGCACTCACCGACTTGACGGCGCGCAAGTTGAAGAAGGCTCGACCGGAAAAGGTTGCGAAACATCTTTTCGTGCTTCCGGAAAATACCGTTATCGCTCCAAAATCATTTGCCGTCATAGCACGAGATGAGATGGCGTTCAGGGAGGCGTACGCCGAGCGTGAAGTCGCCATCGGCGCACTCGTCCGAGGCTCGTTTCGCTTTGGTTTGAGTGCCAAGGGCGAGACGATTCGCATTTTAGATCGATCGAACGCCACTGTGTTCGAGCTCAAGTACGACGATAAGGGTACATGGCCGAATACACGCGAGGCTGGACACTCACTCGAGCTCGTGGACGTGCGTCAGGATCCGAACGACTCATACTCGTGGATCGCGTCGTCCGAAAATGGAGGCACCCCTGGGGAGGTAAACTCCGTCGCCGTGTCGTGGTGAATCGTGAGCGATTCGTTTTAAATTCAATTGTTTTTTTACTTTGATTCGACAAACTGACGATAATCGCGCTCGCTATTTGACTACTTGATGCTGGCTCCCGACGGCACGTCCGTCACGGTGCACTCGCCCGCCTCGCACGAGAGCACCTTATCGCCGTACATCGCCTTGCCGTCCTTCACGGCGAGCTTCTCTTTCACAGCGTCCCAAAACTTGCTCTTGCACTCCTTCGGGTACGTCGCGGACGGCGCCGTGCCTGCTGGCGTTACGACGTCGCCGCACTTAGCGCCCTCCGGAACGCGCACGAGCTTCACCTTGGTCTCGCCCTCGGCCTCGTACTCAGTGGCGAGAATCATCGCCACCGACGCTTGACCCGCCAACTTTGCCGGCTTTAGGTTCACGATCGTGAGCACCATCGCGTCCTTGAGCTCGTTCTCTGGGACAAACTTGCGCAGACCGGTCACCACCTGTCTCGGGGCTTCCTCGCCGACGTCCACCTGGCACAGGTACAGCTTATCGCTATTCTCCACGTGTCCGACCTCGACCACTTTACCGACGACGAGCTTCGCCTTCTCCACGGGATCCACCTCCTCCACCGGCGCCGTCGGCTTCTTCTCCTTCTTCTTCCCTTGTCCGCTCGCGCCCGCGTCGCCGCCGTCCGCCTTCTTCACCCCCTGACCCTTCGGCTTGATCACCGGATTCAGCATCTTCACGATGTACTCGCACGTTTGATCGAACGCCTCCGGCATCGGGTTATTCGCCTCGAACGGTTTCGTCATCACGTATCCCGTGCGCTCGCACCGCACCTTGACCACGCCCGGCGGCGGCGCGATCGGGAAGAACGGGTTCTTCCCCGACGTTCCCGTCGACGCGCCGGGGCCGTCGAGCAACGCGTCGGCGACGGCGCTCATGGTATCCATTCGGGGCGTCGCGCGGGCGCGCGCGCGTCGACCGCGGACGTGTGCGGACGGCGGGGCGTCGAACGATCGATCGATCGGCGACGTCGACCGCTGGATCGTCGACGCGTGCATGCGACGAGTCATGACTCGTCCGATGGGGACTCGACGCGCACCGAGAAAACGCTCGGAAAACGCTCGGACGACGACCGCGACCGACGCCGCGGACGCGCCCGCAGAGCGCGATGCGGCAGTACGAACCGGACGACGCCGAGGATTCGGACTCGGAGACGCGCGCGACGCGCGAGCGCGCGCGTAGAGACGCGTTCGAGCGCGAAGTTGACGCCGAGCTGGGAACGGCGAGCGAGAGCGAGAGCGATGACGAACGCTCGTGGGAGGCGTTCTGGCGACGATCGACGGCGGCGAACGCGGCGAGGATGCGACGCGCGGGTTTAGATCCGACCGCGGCGGAGGTGCGGGAGGCGTACGGGCGTCGTGGGCAAAAGTTGGACCGAGGACGACCTCGCGAGGAGACGCTTTTTTGTTTCGGATGCGACGGCGCGTGCGGCGACACGTTTGAGTGCGCGCAGTGTCTGGAGATTTACCGTGTGCGGTCGAAGAAAGGTGGCGTTTGATACGTGGGAGCGCGCGTTCTTTTGTTCGTGCGAGTGTTACGTCGCAAACTGGGATGCACACAAGTGTCGACACGCGCCGAGTACGGCGGGACCGACGCTCAAGGATGGCAACGTGCACAAGTTCGAGTCGCCGATCGGAAACGGGGCGCTGTGGCACGCGACGGAGCTGCGACGCGTCGAGTTCGAAGAGTGCGTGCCACCTAGAGAGTATAAATAAATACATCGTGCGTTCTTTTGTGTCTACTAGTCTGGGGTCAGCAGCGGGCTCTGGTAATCCACCGCGCGGCGCTCGTCTACAGCGAGCGCGGCGTCCACATCCATCGGAGGCGCGCTCGGCGACGCGAATTCACCGTCTCCATCGTCGTCGTCGTCGTCATCATCGTCGTCGTTATCGCGATACGACGCGCTCTTGCCAGGTCCTGGCGACTCGTGCCGACTTGATTCAGAAAACGGCTCGTAGTTCTCCTTGGAATGCGTCACGCCGTCGGCGCCGTCCGATCCCAGAGGAACCCCGTGTGTTTGCAAGTACTCCGCCAACGCGAAATGATTGTACTTAGCCGCAACATCGACCGCGGTGCGGCCGAGCGTATCGAGCGCGTCCGGCATTGCACCCAGGATGAGAAGCTTTTTGCACGCGGCTTTGTTTCCGTTTGCGGCTGAAATCATTAGTAGCGTCTGCCCCTCGTTCGTCTCATCACGCGCATCCACGTCCAGGCCCTCGTCGTCGACCAAACGTTCGATATCACGAGGTCGATTCAGTCTGCACGCCCTGATTCCGGCCGAAATGAGCTGCGCTTCCCTGGCGAAATCTGACGCCGTCCCGACGCCTCGCCCGCTCTCGGCGCGAGTATCGCGCATCGCCGCCCACTCGTCCGCCCCCACCCAATCCGTCTCGTCACTGAACGCCTCAATGTTTGGATTATTCAAAATCTCCAAAATTTGCGCCGCCACGGCCCCGCACCCGATGAGCTCGTCGCAGAGCGCGTACGCCTCCTTCATCTCCTCGTCTCGGCGCGTTCGCGGCTCCACCTCGCTCGCAAACGTGTCGTAATCCACATCGTACTCCCCCGTAACGTCGTCCGCTCGCGTCACCAAAAACGCGAACACCGACCGTATCTCATCTTTACTCATGCTCTTCCACCGCACCGTCGCCGTGACGCGGTCAATCACGCCATCCAAGCGCGTCGGCGTCCACAGCGCTCCGCACCCCACGCTCGCGCACGCCGTGAGGAAATCACTCAACCGCACCGTCCCTCGTCCAATCGCGTCGCACAAATCATAAAACCGCTTAAAAACCCTCGAATTTCCATTCGCTCGCTCGAGCGCCCTCGCCGCGGTCGCTCGCTCCAGCCGCGCGTCCACGCTTCCGAACGCGCCGTGAATCAATCCCTTCAACAATCTCCCCGGTTTCTCCCCCCCCAGCGGTCTCAGCGCGCGTCTCAACCGACGCGAGCGATCGATCTCGAGTCGATCGATCGCTCGATCGATCCCGTTCGCCCTACGCCGCGCGCGCGTCGTCAGTCACCCCATCCATCGCCCGCGGGCGCGGTCCACCGCCGTCGCGCCCACCGCGCCCGCGCCGTCGCCCACCGCGCCCGCGCCGTCGCCGTCGTCCGCGCCGCGTCGCGTCCGGACGTCATCGCGACG